GGGATTTCCGTGAGTTTCTCAAACTTACGACTGGTGGGGAAGAAGATCACGCCAGGGACACAAACTCCGCGGAATCCGCGGTAACCCAAATCATGAATAATAAGGAAGCAACCGAGTGCGGAGCATCAATTCCGTCGCCTCCGCATTCGGCTACGAGTGAGTGTTTCGGCTTTGCCCCTACCCCTCGGCACGTCAATAGTCTATATTTAGTGTTGTGGTGATAAGCCGAAATTCCTAAGAGTAAATGTAACCAGTAAGTTAACAGTGTGTTAGTTCGTTCAATATCATCTATTAAACTTTTATCATTTAATACAATTTTGTGTTTCAATACCACGTATCCACTATTTTGGAGTAAAATCCTACATTTTGAGGGCTCAACCGGGATAAAGATCCAAATCTGAGTCAAAGATAAGTGGGTACGTAATCGTGGTATGTGGTAAATCGTGCAAGAAGTGAAACCGAGAAACAAGATGGTGCTAAAGTTGGAATTCTAAATACCCTGTGGCGAGGCTGCAGTGGCGGACTAGACGGTGCGACCTGGTAACGAGGCTACTGTCGTTGCGGAGAGAAGCGCGCTGGGTAGGGGCGGTTGACGTTGCAAACCATTGAGAGGGATATACGAGACGAAAAACTGGAGAGGAGACGGCATCGGTTGCGGACTGATTGGATCAAAACATTTATGTTGCGGAAAGCTGACTGGGGTGCTGTGTTCAATAGGGTGAAGTAAGCAATAAAGGACTGAAGGTACTGTGACGTATAGAGCTTTGTATAATTTTTAGGCTAGAATAATAGTAGATATTTTAGTACATTTTATTAATACATTACTGTTTATTGGGTTCATAAAAACAGGAGTATTGTCTTAACCATTTGAAGGTTTTTTTTTAACGTTTTTTGGGTTATTTAAATTGATGTTTAATGTACTTTTGATTGTGCCTTTTTAAGACAGTGTATATTTTTATGCTAAGGTCTAGTTGAGACCCTAGTTTTGTTTATTTTTGATTAGTGTTATTAGTGTTTAAAGCAGAACTGAAGCTTGATCACAATTTAATCTTGTGTTACCTATCCATTTGAATTATTTATTAAGTATAATGGCAACGTTAGGTGAAATTGATAAAATAGCTCAAAATATAGCGCATAGTCAATTAAAAGTTATCAAAGTGTTGTATGTCATTGCTTTTGGGGTGGAGCCACCTCCGCCAAAGGCACGAAAAGAGTTAAAAGATTTTGTAGGTTATCAATTACCTTTAGGAAGTGGGCAATTCAAAAATAAAGTTAAATCTGTTGTTCAAAATTTAGAGTGATCCGATCTTGTAGCTGTCTGCAATATTTTAACTTTGGATTATCAGAGAAGTGTTGAAATTGTGGCTAATCGTATCTGTTCTTTTTTGAATGATCCTAAAGAGAATGTTACATCATCAGCAGACCGAGACGAAGAAGAGGAAGAAGAAAATACTGAAGATGAGGAGTATGATGAGGACAATACTAAAAGTGTAACAACAAAACTGAATTATTTTGCTCTAACATTTCGAGACATAGAGGACAGTATAAGATCATATGACGGTACACCAGGATATCCCATACAAAAATGGATACAGGACTTTGAAGAAATAGCCGAAATAACGCAATGGAACGATTTACAAAAATTGATTTTGGCAAAAAAATCACTAAGTGGTTTGGCACGACTGTTCGTTCAGTCGCAAAAAGGAAGTAGATCTTGGGTAACATAAAGGAAAAAATTATTGCCGGAGTTTGAACAAAAAATTAGCAGCTCACAAGTACATAAGGAATTAATGTATAGAAAAAAGAAAAAAGATG